GTTGCTATGGTCTCACAGGTGGTTGCTAAGGTGTTGTCAGGCCATTGCTATTTTATCCCAAGTGACTGCTAAGATGCTGCTAGGCTGTTGCTATGGTATCCCAGGTGGTTGCTAAGGTGTTGCCAGGCCATTGCTATGGAATTCCAGGAGTTTGCTAAGGTGTTGCTAGGCTGTTGCTACGGTATCACAGGTGGTTGCTAAGGTGTTGCTAGGCTGTTGCTATGGTCTCACAGGTGGTTGCTAAGGTGTTACCAGGCCATGGCTATGGTATCCCAGGTGGTTGCTTAGGTGTTGCCACGCTATTGCTATGGAATCCCAAGTGGCTGCTAAGGTGATGATATGCTCTATGAATACCGTACATGTTTTATTTCCTCTGGTTTGTTGAATATATTATTCAACATCTGCGTGTGTTGAGTTGAGTGGCTTGTATTGAAACACACAATATGATATGTTTTACTGTTACACTCCTTCTGCAAAGATATTAATGGCTACCCCACCACACATTTCTACCAGACAGGTCTCCAAATCACCAAAATGTTAATAGTGTAGCTTTAAATAATTGCGACACGCCTACTCAAGGAAATTATCAAAACGTCTCTGTGACTTCAGATTTTATTTTCACGATCAAGTGTTTATTGAGTTTAAACCAACCATCTGTGTCATAGGTTTCCCTCACATATATGTGACAATATGTCAAGCCAAATTTATTCTCATAGCTACTTCATTGATCCCTGCTCACCTGTTCATATAAGTAGCGGCTCGTAGCCGTCTCCCGTTTCGGGCTAACCGCTGCAGATAAAACCTACAGCGGTAATCCCTCTAATGCAGGGCTGTGATGAGCCCAGTGCCGGTGTCAGCTTTAATGGCATTAGCAATAATTCCAGTCAAACAAAGCCAGAGTGCTGGGAGAGCTGTGTGCGCCAGATTTATAACAAAGTCTCATTCTGAGTGCCAGAGCGGAGGGCCGTGCCGCAGCAGCAGTAGGAAGAAGCTTTATCACAGGGAGGACACAAAGAGGAAACTGGGACTGGGGCGATCACTGCAGAACAGAGGTGTAAAGTTTAAGCCCTTTGTGTGAGTGTGTGTGTGTGTGTGTGTGAGAGAGAGAGAGAGAGAGAGAGAGGGAGATGGAACATTTTAGAAGACACTGGCTTTAATGTCTTTCTTCAGAAATATTTATATGGCACTGATGCAATTACTCAAACAATAGATGTCCATTAGGGAAAAAGAATGACTAGGTCAAATTTAGCATGGCTAAAGTTATAAATTACACAACCCATTGACCTCCTTAGACGATTCTCTTGCTTTCACTCACTTTCTTTCTTTCTCTATCCACTAGTATCCACTAGTGATACACTGATTTGATCAACTGGATTGGTATTATAACCAATACTGACCCTATTAAATGGATTAAGTATCAGTCAGATAAGACAGATCCACAGTCTTTACTATTCCTTGGTCTAGTGTACAACTGTAACCATGAAGTTTTATGAATCTTCTAGAATAGTCTAACTTAAAAATGTGCACAATCCTGAAAATAATATTAGTGCATGACTGTCTGAAATATGCTACAGTAGCTGCTACAGTATATTTATTAGGGATGCTCTGACATGGGACTTCTGGGGTGATGTCGATATCCAACATTTTTCATGTACATGTGTGTCACTGCAGATACGGAGGCCAATATACTCATTCAGAATCAGAATTACTGTATATATGTATGTATGTATGTATGCATGCATGCATGTATGTATGTATGTATGTATGTATGTATGTATGTATGTATGCATGTATGTATGTATGTATGTATTTATTTATTTATTCATATGTACATATATATTTATTTAATTACACTTTATTCACTTGATTTACTTATGTAGAAACTTAAATTAAATCCACCTGGATTAGCAGTACAGAGAAATACAGCATTTACTTGTTAAGGGTTTTAAATGAATTCAGTAAAATTCATTTTAATACAAGCGTGTAGTACAGTAGTACAGATGAGTCAGTATTTTACTATGTTCAAATAGTCATTAAAGTTTAAAAAGGTGAATAGTTAAGATTTTGACTGGCAATTTAGCTTCTTACTTACATGACACCCTCTCATATTTAAGATCCATGAGATGTCTGATGTCTATACTCCTCTGAAGGGCCTAAGTCTTACATTTTTGGTCAACAGTTTTACTCTGTCTAGTCCAAAGAAGGAAACATAGAAAGACTACTGCAGCCGTCTAGATGCTACCGCACACTGGACAAGAAGTGCCGCACAGCAAAAAGTACAGAGTGCAGATAACTAACTCCCTGTTTTCAAGCTGAAAAGTATAAGGTGAAATATGATGTGACTAGGAAACCACCATTAGTCGAGGTGAAAACAGACAATTAGCATTTGTGAGTTTATTTTAAAGATAAACAGACTGATACCCTTGGTTTAATATAGTCCAGTCAATACATCTGGTGTGTGGCGGCCCGTAATGGCTTACGAATGTGAATATTATTTGAACCATTTGACTGAAATGTCCTTCCTAGCACAGTAGCTCAGCCTCATCTAAACACTATACTCTTCCACAGTACAATAAACGCATCATCAAGTATTGAGTTGAAATATCAACCCAATTTAATCATCTATCCGATTTTTCTTTGAACGATTATCTGCCAATGCTGATATGATTCTGACATCATCATGCATCCCTAATATTAATGTTTAGGTACTCTGCTATGACGAAACATGAGTGCCTTAAAAGAGCACTGGCTACATAATACGGGCAAAATAGCCACTGCTACATTCTGCAAGTAAATTATGCCTTGTTTAATATTAAAATTACTGGTGAACCCTTGAATTGGCATGATGTAACATTGGCCTGCATTATTTTGAACAAAAAGTTTAACGCATGTCAGAACACACGAAGGCTGGAACTCATCAAAAGACCCACAGAAACTAATGTGGAATGTCTGAGGTTGGCTAGGATACTCACAGCACACAAAGAACAAATGAAATGATTGGTTAGATAGCTCATTTCCATACTGTAGCTTTCTGCAATGTCAACACTGATTAAGACATGATGCATTGTGTAGCCATATGTCTTTCAGGACAGAGGGATGATTGAATTTGACTGACATGCCTGGTAGACCCATAGCAGGCTATCACCAGCAGTAAACATCATTAACCCTTCTTCACCCTGCAGGGCAGCCAACAACAGAATCCAAACACATAGCAGCCTGAGCCCATCACTACCAGTCAGACCCCTCACAGGTTGACAAGGCCAGTGCTATGCCCTTCAGCCAATGCTGTCAGTCACAATCACTCTACATTGTTCTTACTCATAATGCAACCATCTCGTAAGTTGTAAGTTATACTGTGTGCATTATATGAGAAAGGAGTTTCGTCCTACAGGATTTCTTAATTGTGAAGTAAAAATAACTCCAAGCATGCACAAGAACCAGAAAAGGTTCTTTGGAGTGAACCATAGAAGAACCACTTTCTTTCGTAAAGAACCTTTCAATAGATGGTACTGTGAAAAAGCACTTCTTTAAGGAACGAGTGGGTTCTTCTGTGACACTGCTAAAAGGATGGTGCTTTGCAAGTAGATCACCAAAAATTCCTGCAAAGAGATGAGATATGTGATGTAAACAGTAAAGGAGAGGGGGAGGGGGGTCCACAGAGTTCAGAGGGCATTATGCTATATGGGTCAGGGGTGAACATCACGAGCATATTATTATGTGATGAAATCCAGAAATGAATACAAGTGGGAACTCCTTTGTTAGAAAACAAAGAATCTGCCAATCAGCGGGTTCTAACCTAGGTCATTATCTCTGAGGAGTTATTAGAGTTGTTAGACGAAAGAAAAATGTGAGCACCGCTCCAAACAGTCTGACCAACCTTGAAGCCATCTGAAGAATTTTGTCACCACTTGAGCACCGCTGAGAGACACAATCGCTTCTTGAGTACATGAGTGGGTGTGCCATAGTGCGCTCCTGTTGCACGCTTGAAACAGACTCGGTTTTCTTCATGCCTTGTTTGAAAAACTCAGCAATCATTTACAGAAGTGAGGAAAGAATTTCAGGCCGTTCTCTGAGCCTGAGTCTTTCGCACTGTTCAAAAGACAAAGGGATTTTAGAGTGTGCTTAAGGCGATTCCTGGCTGACAGCCTGAATGAGTGGATGAGTAGACGATTCTCTCTGGGAGATTATTGACCCAGAAGCTGGTGAGAGGAGGAAGAGGAGGAGGAGGAGTAGGAGGGGCCCGGAAGCTCCATGGCTAGCGGATGATGAACTGGCACGAGACAACAGGAAATGCTGGACAATGCTAATGGAGAGGAGAGTCTTCAGGACTCAAGCAATGACTGCTGGTTATTGTACTAAAAAGGGATGACAAGCTTTTGCATTACACATACTAGACTGTGCATTCGATTGCTCTTTCTTTGTCAGGATAAACTATGATAAAGGCACAGGATTGAAGCAACTGGGCGAGCCAGAGAGGTTAACCTAACCCAACCCAGTGTCAGAAACATCAGCCCTTTGAAGCACTTGCTCTGAGTAACATTCTGTGGCTGTGAGTGCCAGTATGTGCTTTCAAGTGGGTGTTCCTTGCTTTTGCCAAAGAGAGAAAGCTGTCAGAAGAGCAAGCGGGAGAAGAATGAAAACGTATCCAAACTGTGGAGTGAATTTGCTCTTTTGGCGAATCTACATCAAATCTGTAGCCTAACATCCCTAAGATTGAGCTCACAGTAAGCTACAACTAAAGGTAATGCAACATCAATGCATAGCGTATAGGTAGCAGATCACAGTTACAACTCAAGCTAATGCAACATCAACGCATCACTGAGTGCTAAAGCACAAGATCATGTATTATATAGGCAATAGATCATAAACAGGTCCTTAACAGCCCTCAAAGTGAACAATTTCACATCTCATTTCCATTCAAGGTAATGCAACATCAACCCATCAGACTAAGACTGTTTGCACATTAAATACAAAATCCCATACACTTTGTCTTCTCCTACCTCCAGACCTGAGCCAGCTGCAGGATGTGCACTAGGCTCTGGAAGAGCCACACGCAGGCTCTGCAGCACGTCCTCCCTCCGCCGCCGCTGCTCCGGGCTGCAGCCCCAGCCCCGCGCTGCTCGGCGCCCTTGCCGCCCAGGAGGTGGCTCTCCGCGCCGGCCGCGGCCACCACCGCCGCCGCCGCTGCTGCGCCGCCCCCGCCGCCATCCTCCTCGGCGTAGTCGTATGCGAACCAGCGGAAACTGAGCGCCTGCACCACCACGGAGGGCACGACGATGAAGACGAGCGTGAGCGCGAACCACCAGTAGTCCCGCCTGAGGTAGTAGTCGGCGGCCAGCCACAGGTCCGAGGCGCCGTCCGAGAAGAAGACGAGCAGGGCGGCGAGAGTCCAGCAGCAGTCCGGCAGAGAGTAGCGCTTCACCGCGGGGCTCGGTGCCGGACTCTCGGGCAGCACGGACACGGCGGCGATTCCGTCCGATTTCGCGGCCATGTTTGTTGTAGTGGGGCAGGGGAAAAATGAGAGTAGAAAAGAGGGATGGGAGAAAGGGAGGGAGGGGATGGAGGGATGGAGCAGGGTGGGGGGGGATTGTATGTCTGTGCGTACGGAGATGGAGGGGGGAGTGGGGGCGGGGGTCATTATTCCTTGCTAAGCATCCTGTCTCTGGTCAGTGGTCTTGTGAGAGCTAGCAATGGTCCAGCATCATCTGAATCCACGTTATCCACGAGGCGAAGGTGCGGAGGTGCCTGCAGGTTTATTATAGCCTATTATGCTATGCTAGAGGACTGAAGCCAAGCGAGCTAATGGCCTAGCAAGGCAGTCAGCTGCTCTCTGTGATGCTTCCCAAGCGTGAATCTGCTGCAGTGTTGGAGCTTCTGACCACACAATGTGGTCTGGACCGACTTTTGTCCAGTGCACTCTAGAAAAGTTAATGCAGTGACTAGAAATCAAAGTCTGTCGTATTGCAGTCAATCAGAAGACACGCACAGCGTCAAGTATCGCTGAGTGTCTCCTAAAGCCACGCGTTACTGGTGATGCATGGAAAAGGACAAGAAAGAAAGGAGGGAGGGGCTGTGATTGATGCTTCGGCAGGGAGTAAACGGACAGGTTCGTCGCTCTTTGTCCCGCTGTTTTTTTGTTTGTTTTTGTTGAGGAATGGCGCCCCCTGGTTATTAAAGCTAATCGGTTGCTTAATCGCCTTAGTATTGATTAAATACGGCTCTGTATGGAAGAAAATTCCCGCCACTTACAATAAAAAATACAGCACCTAATTATTAGTTTTTCACTAGTAAGTCAGTTGCTATGTCATCATACAAGTAATTGTTTTGAAATATTATCATAATTTTGAGATGATAAGTCATTATTTTCAGATGCTGTCATTATTCTCATGTAGTCAGTTATTATTTTGACATACTATCTTATTATTTTGAGATGCTAAGTCATTATTTTGTGATTCTGTTATTATTTTGAAATACTATCTCATTATTTTGAGAAACTTTCGTGTCATTTATATTTATATACAGTGCTGCTTCCAAGTTTGTGAACCCTTTATCATTTTGTAAATTTCTACATGAATCTAACATAAAATATAATCAGATCTTTATTTAAGTCATAACAATAGATAAAAAGAACACAGTAAAACAAATAACACAAACAATTAGTTATTCATCCATTTACTGAACAACGTGATCCAGCATTAAATGTCTTTGTTGGCAAAAATATATAAGTTTGGTACTCTAGAATTATCAGTTTGGCATTGGTGATAATTAGGGTCAGGGTGAGAGTGTGGCTGACCCTACCCTGTTCGAAAAACAGCAGCCTGAGTCTTCACGATCAAAATGTGGTCTTTACCACACACATTTGTTAGGGCGTGCCATGTCTCAGTCAAAGATTTCCTCAGAAATGAGGACCTCAGAATTTATTTTAGACTGGAAGAGGTTCCAAAACTATGCTGTGCAAAATGTAAGTAAAAACAAAATGCAATGATGTGTAAATCATTTAAATCCTATATTTCATTGAAAATAGTACAATATCACATGTTGAAACTGAGAAATTTGATTGTTTTTCGAAAAATATATGCCCATTTTGAATTTGATCTCAATAACATGTTTCATAAAAAGTTGGGACAGGGCAACAAAAGACTGGTGAAGTTTTTTAATGCTAAAAAACACCTAGTGGTTGATTAGCAACAGGTCAGTAACATGATTGGGTTTAAAATGAGTATCATAGAGATGCTGAGTCTTTCAGCAGTAAAAATGGAGAGGGGTTCACCACTGTGTGATAGACTGTGCAAGCAAACAGTGCAACAATGTTTCTCAATGTAAAATAGCAAAAAAACTTGGGGATTTCAACATCTACAGTACATAATATCATTAACAGATTCAGAGAACCCAGAGAAATCTTTATATGCAAGGGACAAGGCCGAAAACCGCTGTCTGTGAACACTGAAACATTGCTGCAACCACAAATGCAAGTTAAAACTCTAAAACACAAAGAAGAAACAATATATAAAGGATCCAGAAACACTGCCACCTTCTCTGGGCATGAACTCATTTAAGATGGACTGAGGTGAAGTGGAAAAGTGTCCTTTGGTCCAACTAATCAAGATTTGATTAGTTACACACATCATCCTCTGGGCTAAAGACCATCCGGCTTGTTTGTTAGTGCACAGTTCAAAAGCCAGCATTCGTGATGGTATGGGGTGCATTAGAGTACATGACATAGGTGACTTGCACTGTGAAGGCACCATTAATGCTGAACGCTATATACATGTTTTGGTAAATGCTGCCATCCAGATCTTTTTCAGTGAAGGCCTTGCTTATTTCAGCAAGACAATGTCAAACCACATTCTGCACGTATTACAACAGCATGGCTCTGTAGTAAAAGTGTCCGAGTGCTAAACTGGCCTGCCTGCAGTCCAGACCTGTCACCCACTGAAAACATTTGGTGCATTATGAAACGAAAAATACAACAAAGAAGACCCTGAACTGTTCAGCAGCTGAAATCATATATCAAGCAAGAATGGGAAACATTTCACTTTCAGAACTACAGCAATTTGTCTCCTCAGTTTTCCAGTTGCTTACAAAGTGTGGTTAAAAGAAGAGGTGATGCAACGCAGTGGTAAACATGCCCCTGTCCCCTTTTTTGGAAAGTATTGCTGGTATCAGATTCAAAGTGGACATAGATATTTTCAAAAAACAATAACATTTCTCAGTTTCAATATTTGATATGTTGTCATTGTACTACTTTCAATTAATTATAGGGTTTAAATGATTTGCATATCATTGCTATTTTTATTTACATTTTGCATAGTGTCCCAACTTTTTTGGAAACAGGGTTGTATTTCTGACAAGTTTGGATTTCACTGATCCACTGTCAGTCAGATAGTGTACAAATAAAGGAAATTCAACACTATTGTTACCGTTCCCTCGAGCGGTCATCCAACTAAAGTGATTCTCAAACTACGTAATAGTCCACAAGTCCACAAACAGGCAAACACAAGAATAGTATGTATGAAATGAAAGCATGAAGAAAGCAATTTTGCTCCACAAAGAACAGTTCTGACTGTTTAAAGTTTCCTAAAGACTACTTGTATAAGCCACAAACTACTGACATAATGTGGAAGGATGAGGCAAAAATGGATCTTTATGGCCTAAATGAGAGATGTTATGTTTGGCAAAACCGAACACTGCATTCCAGAATGAGAACCTCATCCCAACTTTAAAACATGGTGGTGGCAGTATCAGGGTTTGAGGCAGGTTTGCTGCTATTGGGCTGCTATTGCAGAAAGACAACGACCCTAAAAATACCAGTTTACAAAGAATGGTTTAAGCAGAAGAAATGCTGTATTTTGGAATAGCTGAGTTAATGTCCAGACCTGAATTCAATAGAAATGCTGAGGTACAACCAAAGGTGTGGCATTCATGCAAGATAGCCCACCAACAAGTCAATGAGCAGGGCTGATCAACAGTTAAACCAATTGTTTGGTTAAAGTCACTGTTCAAGGGGGTCACACCAGTTCCTGAAAGCAGAGGTTAACATGCTTTTGCCAACAAAGACATTTAATGTTAGATTATTTAGTTCAGTAATTAAAAAAAAACTCTCTCTCTATATATATATATATATATATATATATATATATATATATGTGTGTGTGTGTGTCTGTGTGTGTATATACAGTTGGAGATACAAAGTTTTCTTCCAAAAGCAGCGATATATATATATATATTATATATATATATATATATATATTATGTGTGTGATGTTGTGTGTGTGTGTGTGTGTGTGTGTGTGTATAAAGCATCTCAAAATAATGAGATAGTATTTCAAAATAATGGCTTTATTTCGCAAAATATATTGATTATGAAGTATCATAATTGATTATAGTTATGGTTTCATATAGATCATCCATTATCATTATCACAAATAGTACTTAGTATTATAATGATGATTGGGTGCTGGATTTTTATTTATTTTATTTTAAGTGACAGGAATAAGCTTCCATAGATATGTGTTGATTTGACACACTGGGAATTTTATTGGGGATGGTGGGATTAAACATCTGAGCTGTATGTTTTTGGGGGGAGGGGAGACAGTGCTCCTTTACTATGTAAACCGTAGATGGCTTTATACGGTTAAGTACTATCACATAATGCCATTAATCCAAAGGGGATAGAAAAGGGGGCTGTTTTACAAGAGGGGGATGGGTTTTTTATTTTTTTTTTACAGTTAAACAGGAAGCATGTCTTCCTCTTTCATCCCCTAAATTAAAGTAGCCAGCACCTACAACTCCTAAAAATAAACATTCTTTATTTATTCCTCTCTTGGACATATGGTTCTAGTAAAAAGCCTTTAACTGATACACTATGTGGTGATTATATGGCTCTTAATGACTATAGCCTACTAAATGTCACTGAATTCAGTGGGTGGGAAAAGTGCCATGTAGACTGAAACAGTCGAACATTACATTTATAGCATAGTCTCTTTTAAACTAATACAAACAAGTTATTATGTTTGTAATGTTCTCAAAATAAGCTCCATCCAATCTATAATACAAAGTTGACAGCCATTATTTGATGACATCACACTGCCAGAAAAAGGGTTCTGTGAAAGGTGCAAGCAATGTGAATGTACCCTCAAAGTTACAACAGTGGTCTTAAGGTCCAGTTATGTACCTTAATAAGTTTTAATGGTACACTACATTCATTTTCCCAGAGAAAAGGTACACTATTTCACAAAAATGAAACAAAAGAAAACGTGGAATGAAGATGGGGTGTATGGAGTCAATGCAACTCAAATAAAATATAATTTGCACTGGAATGAAATATGGTCTAATTACATTCCCTATATTAAAGGTACTGAGTATGTTCCTCCCCAGTGATGTGAGGGGTACCTCTCCAATGACAAATTAGTACCTTTTTTTCTGAGATTGCATGAGGAGCCTTTTAGTATTATCTGTAGGCCTCAAAAACTACAAGTTGGCAAAGTAACCCAAAACCATCAGGTAAAA